CGTGCGCCCTGGCCGCTCGCCCTGGGTCCCCTCCGCCAGGGCGTTTCTCCTGCCGCCGCCGCAGGGGACGTCCCTCCGGCTGAACTTGTCAGCCGGGGTCTCCACATCCATCACCGGGCAGACAGACAGGCCAAGTTCACGAGCAGCGCCGTTAACCCCTGGCACACCGAGCGCCGCCCACAGGAGGGAGCCGCGCGCCCTCCGATCCCAGAGGCACCACCTCTCAGAGGCAGTAGCCGCCCCTACTTCTCTCTTCTTCCCCAAACAACGCGGGCAAAGGGCTAAGAAGAGGGATAGAAGACTTGCAAACCCCCCTCCCCACCCCCATCACGTGCATTTTTTGGCTTTTTTTTTTTGGTCATTTTATTTACACTTTTGTCTTCATAACCTCTCCGGTTTCTTTTCTTCTAAATGAGTTGGACACCAGGGTAACGGACAGCTTTGGTAAATGTCTTTCCCTCCTCCCAGGTGTGTGGCTGTGCTCACCGTGTGTGGAAAAAATGAGAAAGTTTTCGAAAAACGTCAGAGAGAAAAAAATATTAATTGGCCTTCATGGCTACACCGAGAGGCCTGACTTTAACAGAAAAAAAAAAAACAAACCAAAAACAAAAGAATAGTCTCATTGGACGAGTCTAGAGCAGAGCTGGTTGTGTGTGGGGAGGAGCAGGCAGGGGGTGGGTGGGCACATACACAACCTGGCTGACCTGGATGGTGAAAGAAAAACAAAACCCAGACAAGTCCTGCTAGACTAGAGGCTAGAGAAAAATGAGAAAGTTTTCGAAAAACGTCAGAGAGAAAAAAATATTAATTGGCCTTCATGGCTACGCCGAGAGGCCTGACTTTAACAGAAAAAAAACAAACAAACAAACCAAAAACAAAAGAATAGTCTCATTGGACGAGTCTAGAGCAGAGCTGGCTGTGTGTGGGGAGGAGCGGGCAGGGGGTGGGTGGGCACATACCCAACCTGGCTGACCTGGATGGTGAAAGAAAAATAAAACCCAGACAGATCCTGCTAGAGGCTAGACAGGGGGAGAGAGAGAGAGAGAGAGAGAGAGAATGAATTTAGAATCTGCGACCCAGCACTCCCTCCCCCCTCCACCCATCGGCCCTATTCTAGTCTCCCAAGCGCTGAAGACGCCTCTCCCACCCTCCCTGGCAGCCTAGTTCCCACCAGGCCCAGAGTGGAAGGGGGGGGGGGGGGGGGGGCGCTCTCCGCACCAGGCAAATGCTCCGCCCTTTGGGGGAACCCCCTGCCGCCTCCCCAGGAGAAGTTTCTCAGCCTCTCCCAGCGGGCCGCCGCCTGGGGCCACCCGCCCCCTCCCCCCACTCCCCATTGAATTCCTGGGTCTGGGAGCTGGCGGCGCCGAGGGCGACCTACCAACTTTTCCCCTGGGCACTTTCTCACCCCCCCACGCCCGCCCCCCAATCCCCCAGCGCCTTCTTTTCTTCTCCCTGCGCTCTGTTTTGAAAGGAGGCACCCAGGCCCAGAACGTGTTCTGCAGTTTAACTACTTCCAAATTTGTTGTTC